AGCTGAGGAGAGAAACCCATACTACCCCAACCACAAAGACCTCAACGACTTGATCAGAGATCTTGGTCTCACCAAGTCCAATGCTGAGCTTTTGACGTCTAGGCTCAAGCAGTGGAACTTGTTGGATGCAAGTGTGCAAGTCGCAGATCAGAGGAAGCGTCACCAACCTTTTTGCAGCTTAATCTTCTTGGTTCTTTCGGTAAAGTCACGTAGAAGGGAAGTAATAAAATAATAAAAAATGAAACATAAAAAAATAATTCTCACGACGTTTCGGCCACAACGCAAGCAGCCAGACGCTGTCGCCTCGACAGACCTGGTTTCACCTGAGGACGGCTACTTGCGTTGTGGCCGAAACGTCGTGAGAATTATTTTATTATGTTTTATTTTTATTATTTTATTACTTCCCTTCTACGTGACTTTACCGAAAGAACCAAGAAGATGAATCCCTGCAGTCACGAAAGCTTTAAATCGAAAATTTTTTGCAGCTTCTTCATCCGTCAAGATGGGCTCTGCTTCTGCCACAATGTGACCAGTCTGTTCGAGGCATTCGGAATCGCGTGTAACCAGAATGAGTGGCGCCTCTTGATTGACAGCTCATCCAGAAGCATCAAGGCCGTGCTGCTTCAGAATGGTAACAAGTACCCGTCTCTTCCCCTGCAGTACAATCGTAATTCTCGAAAAACTACTCACTTATACATGTTTTGTAGTAATTTTTGTATTACTTTACCATAAATACATACTAATTTTGATTCATATGTTTTTTTTCTGACTTTATGTGAACGAAAAGACACAAATTCGCCCGTTTTCTCATTAATAATAGGTAAATTTCAAAATATCACTGTCCTGGTCACAAAAGCAAATAATAGCCATTTTCTATACTTTTTAGTCATAGGCAATTTTTAAATAACGCTTACTACCCAGGAACACAAATTGTGTTACATAGTGTTATCAGACCATGTTTGTTTGCATGCTCACCACAATTGCGTGTGGTTAATGCAGACTTTATTCCTTTCAAAAGGTATCTATTTGGTATTTTAACATCGTAACACCTGTTTTTACTGCCAGAAAGGGTTGAACCTATTCTTGCTTTTCATACTTTGATACTGGCAAAAAAGAGATCAGCATGATAACCCGCGGGTTATTTTGCCTTGTTTGTTTCCCCGCGGGAGAGACTTCAGAAGAGTCTCGTGACACCCCTCTTTGCCAGAGAGGGTCCTGCCGGCTTTTGAGCGGTGTGTTGATGATAGCTTCTGCCCTGTGTGTGTGTGTGTGTGCGCGCGTGTAATCCGAATTGAGAAAATATTTCGCGGTGGAATTTTTGTTGTTGTTGCAAAATGTGCCAAATCTGGTCCCGTGACACCGGCACACACACACAACACACAACAACGATGTCCTCGAGAGAAAGAACATCCTCCGCCACCGTGTGCCGGAGGGCCTCACGGGAGACATGCGTCTGTGACGTCTCCTGGCCAAAACCCCACATGGCAGAGACGAGGGGGGAGGGACTAAACCCCACTCTCTACCCCCTCCCCTCCCGCCTCCAACCAACCTCGAGGATTAAACAGAATTTAGCAAGAAATCTCAACTAAAACTAGACTATGTTTTATTTCATCAGGTAAGGCACGCTGAGCTATAAAGCTCTTTTTTCAGAAGCGAGTTGGACATCACAAATGATAGCTCAACGAAGTGGCTTATCATTGGGGAATTTATAGCGGCCAAATGCTCTAAACGGATGTTTCTAAATGCGGAGGGAAACACTGGAGGACCCGGAGGAAAAATCCACGCGACCACGGAAACAGAGAAACGGGCAAATTCTAAATATTACAGGCGTCAGGGTTTTGGTTCGAACCCACGACCTCCTGTGAACCAGGCGAGGTAGTTAACATCTCACCACAAGCAAACTCCAAATATACAGCAGCAGGCATCAGGGTCAGGATCGACCCCACGACCTCCTGTGAACCAGGCGAGGTAGTTAACATCTCACCACAAGCAAACTCCAAATATACAGCAGCAGGCATCAGGGTCAGGATCGAATCCACGACCTCCTGTATACCAGGCGAGGTAGTTAACATCTCGCCACTGTGGAGACCAAATCACCTGCAATTGGCCACAAGGAATGGCTCGACACTTGCTGGGATGGAGATGCTGCCACTCCGCTGTTGGGAGCTGGACTTTTACGTCTTCCCTGGGCACTCTGCGCAACCCAGGGAGGTCTGGTGGACTGCTTCAGGCTCCTGTCACCGCGAGGGATGTCTAACTCTCGACTCACTTTGGGGCAGCGTAATGTCAAAGAATTGGGGGGGGGGGGGGTGGCATGAAGCCTGGTGGTGAGGCGTGGGTGGCCCTGAGTGCCAGGCTGTTTGTGAGTTGCCCCTACTCACCTGTGTATGTTGACCGTGCTAATTGAAGGTGTGGGGAAGGGCAACAAACTAAACGCAGTACAGCAGTTCTGAAGAAATTCGTTTTCAATCCAGATTTAAAATTGCAAAGCTCCAGTGGCTTCCTAATATCGGAAGGCAGAGCGTTCCAGACCGGCCGCAGAAGCTCGCCTGAGAGCGCTCGATACGGCCACCGTCTTTGTTTCGATAACCAGCCAAAAGCCAGTGCTGCTGCGTTGATGACCGGAGTTCACACGATGATGACTGACGCTCCTCGACGAGGTCGGCGTGAATATTGTTGGCCCCGTTTGTGGCGGGTTGTTGTGGTGGTGGTGGTGGTTGACCCTACGCCCTCCACCGACGGGTGAACACATCAGCGGAGGAGGCACGCTGGCGAGACTTTCTTCACCCCGGTGAGAGCTCCAGCGGCTCCGTGAGATGAGAGTCACCTGACCGGGCAGCGCTGGGTGACGACGCTCTCGCTGAGATCGATCGCCCACGTGGGCGAACGAGGAGGCTCACCGCGAGGCCTTCGCTTGGAGAAGCCGTTGCTGCCCCGCGGGGATGATGTGGTCAGTCGCGGGTTGCTTGGGAGGTGTAGACTTCCTCAGCAGCCCTCGATCACACGCATTACTCTTTGATGAAAATAACCGGCAGCATAACCCCTGTTGCCATCTTTTGGGTGAAAGAGTGGCGATCCAAACTCGGACCGTACCCGGCCGCACCAGGGTCACAAACGGCTACCCGTACCCGGCCGGGTATCGGGTAGGGTACGGGTATCGGGTACCCGGTTGCGACCTCTGGTGCGTGGCTGGCAGACGTGCCATCTGCCTAGGAGGTGAAACGAGCGATCTAGAGGCTGAGACCGGGTGAAACACTGGGCAGCGATGACCTCCTGAGACATCTGCTGTGATCAGAGCGTGTGCGAGCTACCTTACATGACATCATTACGATTGCCAGGACCACACAAAACAGGTTCAGCAGGATGGTAAGAATGCCTTTGTGTGTGATTATAAATAATATAGCTGTAAACTGTAAATAAATGTCAATTAATATTCATATTGCGATCGAGTATTTTTAACAATCTAAATTTGCTACCTATATTTGTCTTTCTTATTCATGTTGTCTTGTTTATGTTTTTGTATTTACATTTCAATTACATGTGTATTTACACGTGGTTTGGACCCCTTTAAAATCGATTCCGTGCAGGAATCTTTAATTGCTGTGTTTGTTGGTTTTTGTTGAGATGCTTCTTGCTGATATTACCAGAGTTCGTGACCTTCTGCTCATCCTGTCGTCAAAATAGACGTCGTTAATTTTAAACCCAAGATGCGCTCAAGTAGTAGCGCTTGATTCGAGACGACCAATATTGATTTGGAGCTTTGGTGACTACAGGAATCCATACTCTTTGGTTCTTTCGGTAAAGTCACGTAAGGTAGAAAAATAAATAAAAGATCACGGACGTTTCGATCGCAACACAAGCGGTCGTCCTCAGGCGGGAAAATAATCATAATCCAGCAATGGAACTGCTGAACCAGCGAGAGAGCTGTTACAACAAGGAGATATCTAAGAGAGATGCACAGAGAGAGAGAGAGACAGACACAGAGAGAGTCGGAAATAACAGCTGACATAGGCAGGTAGGATGGAAACATCACAGTCAGTTAAGACTTTACCTGGCTAATAACGTACTTCCAATGGAAGATCTCATAGTTGTGTGGAAACCCTCCCCGTAGAGGCGGTTCAATCCCGATTTGAAGCTTTCGTGACTGCAGGAATCCATACTCTTTGGTTCTTTCGGCAAAGTCGCGCCTGAGGACGGACCGCTTGTGTTGCGATCGAAACGTCGTTATTATTTGTTCTACCTTATGTGACTTTACCGAAAGATCCAGAGAGTATCGAGACAACCAGTTCGTCACACGCGATGTCCCGTCGGGCGTCGTCTGTCCCCTCTTCGCTCCACGTGGTTCTTCGCTCCACGTGGTTCCTCTCTCTCTCACTCTGTTGTCCTCCCGCTGTAACTTCACAGCCTGCAGCCGGCAGCCGCCTCTCTGAATGCGTTTCTGACCGACCGCACGTCCACCGGCAGAGGATTGAATAATCTCCTCTTCGGCGCAGGTGGAGTTTGCACGTTTGTCAGCTTGGCCAACAATTCATAATAAACGTTTTTGGGTGAGATCGCGTTGTTCATTATTGTGTCGTAACCCTCCACCACTCGACACGGCCAATCAGCAAAAAAGTGTCACGTTGACAAAAGACAAATAGTTCACTACTTTAGCCCACCGGTGTTTTGAAGAGTGAAACCACATTTTCAATTTTTGAGTACGACGTTTCGCTGGCAATTGCATCCAGCATCATCGGGCAATTCGCCCGATGATGCTGGAAAATGTTGTGGTTTCACTATTCAACACACCGTTGGGCTAAAGTAGTGAACTGTTTGTCTTTTGTAAAAGTGACACTTTTTTTGCTGATTGGCCGTGTCGGGTGGTGGAGGGTTACGACACATTTATGAATAACGCGATCTAACCCAAAAAAGTTTATTATGAATAATATTGGTCGCGACAGCCTCCGTGTTAAATTGGCCAACAATGACAACAACAACAACAACAACATTAAACACCGCTATTATTTTCGTGAATAGACTTGTTTTTGTTTTATTTCATATAAACGCGAGTACATGTTACGGATTTCTGGTCAAGCCTTTGCTCGTTCTTAAAATTACAGAACATACGATAAATTATTACTTAAACTTTGTACGGAATGGTGAATGAAAATACTTAAAACAAACAAACAAAAAACACCCGTTAAGACTTCCCATAGACAGTATTGCATAGTTCACAGATATAAGTTGATCATAATTTCCTTAACAGACGTAGAACCAACGTTTTGTGCATTCACATATATAAGCTCCATATTTTATTTACTCCAGAGCAGCAGTTCTTAACCTGGGTTGCGTGCACTCCCTGGGGAGTGCGAGATTCCCCTTTCTGGGGGCGCGAGACACAGGCCACATTTGTTTTTACAAATTAAGCTATCGCAAACACAAGTTAAAGACGGGCACGTAAGTTACAACTTTGTTTCATCAAACCTTGTTATTTACATTATACATTTTTAAACGATCGAAAACCAAACGGGTGCAAAGGCTGCAGTAGAGGTTAAGACCAACAGCTCTAGATACTACTGCTTTCAGCTTAATGTCACCAAAACAAACTTAAAACCCAAATCCGCAAATACTCATTACATTAATTGTGTCGATGCTAATTTGATAGGCACGTAACGAAGTGTGAGGAGTTAAAAAAAAAAAAACTACAATTCGACATTCACGTGCACGATTCGAGTAAGAATCGTGATGAGCAGGAGAGTGGGGGCTGAGGGGGGTTGCCGAGGTTGGCTAACGTACGGTGCGAAAAAAGTTCAACGCACACACATACACGTGCATCTAAGAATCAATGTCATTTTTGTTCATCGGTGCTACTGACGGAATGAATGACGGGCAACGCGAGCGAGACGAAGCAAACGAAGTCAATGCCAACGATACGACACGAACAATCGGTCCTTGAGTGAGAATCGTGAGAATAGCATCACTGAGTTTGGTGGAGGTATGGTCGAGACACGGATCGACAGTGAATCGCTCGGCGTCGATTCGGAATCGTCACTTGGCCAACAATGACAACAACAATGACAACAACAACAGCAGCAGCAGCGGTGACTTCAATCCCAAGCCCTTGACTGTGATAATAAATTTTTGACTAGATGCGAAGTCCTCGATTAACGCGTTTTCGCTATAACTCGGTTCTTCTACGAGGGAGCACTTTTAGCACAACGTGGAATTTGGCCCCCGTTATAACGCGAAATGTGCCCCCCCCCCCATCCGTTAAAATGCAGAACATGCCCCCCAATTATAACGCGGAGCATGCGCCGGTGGTGCTCACCCGCCAACGCAGCAGCAGCAGCGTCATCGCCAAATGATTTGCACAAACCCAAAAATCGCTCTTTCGAAATCGCCGCGTGACCAAGTTGCCTCCAACCGCTTTGTCCACACGTCAGAGGTCGCAACCGGGTACCCGATACCCGTACCCTACCCGATACTCGGCTACCCGTACCCGGCCAGGTACGGGTACCCATTTGCGACCCTGGTGCGGCCGGGTACGGGTAGGCCGTGAGTCACTGGTGAGTAACCGTTTGTCACTCATTTCGGGTAGGGTACGGGTAGGGAACGGGTACCCGTACCCGGGTACGGGTACCCGTTTGCGACCCTGGTGCGGCCGGGTACGGGTACGGGTAAGGAATCAAAACCCCTTTGCGACCTCTGCCACACGTGGCCACGTTCGGTCGGCGAATGTGAGCAACGCGACGAAACACGTGGCCACGAACCCGTTGCCCTGATCGCGTGAGCGGTAATACGCCGTTTGTCGCCACCAGGAATCAACTTGTTGCGCGCGACTGTTGAGCAATTTAGTTGCGCGCGACCTCGAGTTGCGCGCGACTGGATGGCCCAAATGTAAGGTCGGCTTTCAGGCCTTAGCAGCTACCAGTTGAATCATGCTCGGAATTTTATGTTTTTTTTTTATTTTATGTTTTCATACAAAAATTCCACAAACACGGCACCTAGTACCATATATATACCCATTCTGGTAACACACACAAAGACAAAGACCCCCCCCCCATATAGCCTTACTAGACTCTTGGGGGCAAGTGCTGTTGACGAGCAGCTATGAAGGCCGGCACAAAGCATGATGTGTGTGGCCAGAACCACGCCCGGCCGCCTTTGTATCAAACCCAGGTTACTGATATTTACACAGCATGCCAGGCCCTTTTTAAAGGCTGAGTCGACCTAGGCGAGGCCGACGAATTGATACACAGGACCTGTGCCGCTGATGTTATTTAGCCCTGGCGGGGAATCAACCTCGGGTTTGTGGAGCGCAGTGTGCGAATTGCTACGTCCTTATTCACCGCCCCCTTTGACACACACGAATACACACATACCTCGAGAATACACATTTTTCAAATAAAACCCCAACCCTCATTATTTGGTATAAAGTATTAATTACAAATGCACAGTGTGAGAATGAAAACAAGCTACATTCAATAAGGCGGTCTGGTTAGCGTAGGGGAGTAGGCCAAGTACCCTCTAAATGAGGAGGTCCTCTCGAGGAGGTCCTGTCGAGGAGGTCCCCTTGAGGAGGATCTCTTGAGGAGGTTTCCTCGAGGAGGTCCTCCCGAGGAGGTCTCGAGGAAGTCTCCGCGAGGAGGTCCTTTCGAGGAGGTCCTCTCGAGGAGGTCCTCTCGAGTAGGCCTCCTCGAGGAGGTAGTCCTCTCGAGGAGGTGCTCTCGAGGATGTCTCCTCGAGGAAGTCTCCTCGAGGAGGTCCTCTCGAGGAGGTCCTCTCGAGGAGGTCTCCTCGAGGAAGTCCTCTTGAGGTCCTCTCGAGGAGGTCCTATCGAGTAGGTCTCCTCGAGGAGGTCTTCTCAAGGTCCTCTCGAGGAAGTCCTGTCGAGGAGGCCTCGAGGAGGTTCTCTTGAGGAGGTCTCTTCGAGGAGGTCTCTTCGAGGAAGTCCTCTCAAGGTCCTCTCGAGGAGGTCCTGTAGAGGAGGCCTCCTCGAGGAGGTCCTCTCGAGGTCCTCGCGAGGAGGTCCTGTAGAGGAGGCCTCCTCGAGGAGGTCCTCTCAAGGTCCTCTCGAGGAGGTCTCCTCGAGGAAGTCCTCTCAAGGTCCTCTCGAGGAGGTCCTGTCGAGGACGCCTCGAGGAGGTCCTCTCGAGGTGGTCCCCTCGAGGAGGTCTACTCGAGGAAGTCCTTGGAGCTCCCCTGGCAGAGCAACGCAATTGCAGGGCTGCGCCTCTACCCTTACTTTTATTTGACGTAAAAAAAATGAACTGTCTGGCGAGTACTCGTTGCACGCTTAGCCAGTCGCGTGCAATTCCAAAATAACAGTCACGGCAGCCAGTGTCACCATCACGGAGTCGTCACGCGACCTCCCAACTCGTCAAGGTGACACGAACACACGGGGTAGGGATGCGAGTCGCATGGTGGCTAACCACCACCAGCATCATCATCATCAATATGAGCACCATCATCATCATCAATATCATCATCGTCAGCATCATGCATATCATCACCATCAATACCATCGAAGTCATTACCCTTCTAAGCATCACCACCACCATCATCATCCTCATCACTCCAAATATACACCACCATTATCCAAAACATCCATCATCAGCAGCAGCAGCATTATCATCATCAACATTAAAAAATACACCTCCACCACCTCTACTCCCAATCCAAAATATCCAATGTCATCCACCAGCTTCAAAGGTAACCTCCTCCACCATCACCATCTAGAATATCCACCACCATCATCATCATCCAGGGGGGAGATAAACTGACCACGATCACCTGGCGAGCCTGCACAACGTATTTCCTGATCGATTCCGGACCTGTCATAATTTCCGCACATGAATGACGCCGGCCAAGGCAATATCACTCGCACACAAAGCCAAAGACTCCTCCAAGCCGCAGACAGCAGGCTGTTGGGGTGGGTGCTGTTAGCGAGCACCTATTAAGGCCGGCACGGCGCACACGAGCGCGTGGTGTTGCGAGCACCACACCCGGCCGCATTTGTCTCCCCCGCGCCAGCACCCTAGCACTGATGTTCACACACCACACCAGATAATCTTTTAAGGCTGAGTCGACCTAGGCGAGCCATAGGACCGCGCCTGATCGTCGTGGCTGGGAATCTGACGACAGCAGCGACCTAAAACAGCAGGAGCCGCCGTCCACAGCTAAGCGATGGCGACGTCACCGCAGCGCTCGTGCCAGGCTAGGTGCACTTTGAGGACCGTCACGTGAAGTGTCGAAGGTCCAAGCTGCCCAAGGTGGTCACGGAAACAGACCGCGCCAACAAACACCCGCCGGACAAAGACAGAGATCGCCCGTGTAGCCGCAACAGACTGTCGGGGCAAGTGCTGTTCGCGAGCACCTATGAAGGCGGGAGCGGCACACGTGGGGGGATGGGTGGTGAGTGGTCACCACCGCCCCAGCGCACACACGCACGCACACACACACGCACGCGTACACACGCGCACACACACACGCGCACACACACACGCGTGCTCAACTCCGCGACTCGGCGAGCAGCAGGCACGTGCGGTGCTTGAGCGAGAGGCCGTACACGGCGGACATGTCGGGCGCTTGGCCGTCGGCCGTCCGAATCCGCAGGTGGTGCAGGAGGATGGAGAGGAAGAGGAAGAGCTCGGAGCGAGCCACCGCCTCGCCCATGCAGCGTCGCTTGCCCGTGCCGAACGCGAGCAGGTTGGCGGAGCGCGTGCGGTCCACGGAAGACTGATCCTCGCTCAGGAAGCGCTCGGGACGGAAGGCGAACGGCTCGTCCCAGAGCGCGCTGCACGCAGAGGGAAGAGGAGGGCGGGGATGATGAGTGTGTGTGTGTACGTGTGTACGTTGGAGTTTCTTTCGCACCGTACGTAGCCAACCGTGTTAATCGGAGGTGCGGGGGAAGGACAACACACTGCCCCCCCCCCGATATATTATAATTACGGCCTTGGACACAATGATAACAATAAACGGAATAAATAATCGGCCAGTCGGCCCGCTCTCCTCCCCTACTTCGCGTGTCCGTCTCTCCACATACAAAAATAAATGAAAGTTGTGTTTATGTTTCGTTCACGTGTTCCATAAGCCACGCGACTGTCCCTGAGAGTTGCTTGTTACATCGCTCCCCCTCCTTCTCCCCCATCCTCCTCCCTGCCTGGCCCTCCTCCTCCTCTTTCTCTTTTTTTTACGATCAGAGGAAACAAGAAGATGCTCGGTGTAGTCGACACTTTGCTTCGTTCATCATTTCGTTTTTTTTCAATGATTTGCTTTATGTAAACCACCCCCCCCCTTTTAAATGGAAGATTTAACAAGTCTAGAATTTAGAATCAGCATCACGCGTTTCGAGCATTTGGCTGCTATACATTTCCACTCGATGAGCCCACTTCGTTCAGATATCGTTTGCGGTAATTGTCGCTTCCGAAAAATAGCTACAAAGCTCAAGTGGGCCTTACCTGGTAAAATAAGAAAAATACTTTATCTTCTTGGTTCTTTCGGTAAAGTCATGTATATAATAAAATAATAAAAATAAAACACCTGAGGACGGCTACTTGCGTTGTGGCCGAAACGTCGTGAGAATTATTTTATGATGTTTTATTTTTATTATTTTATTATTTCCATTCTACGTGACTTTACCGAAATAACCAAGAAGATGAATCCCTGCAGTCACGAAAGCTTTAAATCGATAAAAAGTTTAGTTTAGTTTAGACTCCCCCTCCCGTGGTGATGTAGCCAAGAGTAAGATAATGAATAATGATAATAAACGATCAACGTGTCCCGCTCATCGTGGCCACCACTCACCTGTCATGGTTCACCTGCCACTGGTTGATGAAGATGCAGGTGTCCTTGGGAATGAAGAATCCCTGCAGCACGGTGTCGCGCGTGGTGCTGGAGAAGTGAAACACTCGGATTAGAAAGGGTGGAGTTGGTGGAGGTGGTGGTGGTGGGTGGGGGGTGATGGGACACGGTGGTGGTAGCGGTGCCAACTTCATCATTCCAGCCAATGGGTTAAATCAGTGGTCCTCTCGAGGTGGTCCTCTCGAGGAGGTCCTATCAAGGTCCTCTCGAGGAGGTCCTGTCGAGAAGACCTCCTCGAGGAGACTTAACCTTTACTGCGGGCCTTTTTAATAAATACATAGCTTTGTTATTAATAGGGGTTTTCCCCTTTTTTCTGGCAACACAACTGACACCTTTTGCAAGGAATCATGCTTACATTAACCACAATACTTTCAGTCAAATGCAAACAAACAAAATATCAGAGTATTGTTTTTTGTTTGCATTTGACTGCAAGTATTGTGGTTAATGTAAGCATGATTCCTTGCAAAAGGTGTCAGTTTTATTGCCAGAAAAAAGGGTAAAACCCCTATTAGTATATTTTGGTACTGGCAAAGGAGGTCCCATGATGATACATAGCTTTGATGAAACAAAGTAAGTTGTGCTTAAATTGTCTTTGCGATGATTTGCCTTCTAAAAAAACCGCCCATGTCTTGCGCCCCCCGAAAGGGCATCTCGCACCCCCAGGATGTGCGTGTACCCCAGGTTCAGAACCACTGGATTAGAACTCCTCGCCGCGGGGAGATGGAACGCTGAGATCAGCTCGCGGGCTGCTTGACCTGCCCCTACTGGAGCTTTGTAGCTCATCGGATTCCTCGAGTTAAAATAAACATTCAGATTTTGGACTGTAGCATCGCACGGCAGTGAGGGATCGTGATGGTGGCTTGTTGAAGGAGGCCTTTCATCCAGCAGTGGATAGACAACTGCTGATGATGATGATGATCGTGCCGATACAAATTGGGAGAGAGTGGAGCGGTGGCACCGCCGTGGTTTGCACACTGCGCCGTGAACCAGAGGTCGCAAACGAGTTTTGATTCCTTACCCGTACCCGTACCCGGCCGCACCAGGGTAGCCAGGTATCGGGTAGGGTACGGGTATCGGGTACCCGGTTGCGACCTCTGCCGTGAACCCGGCGACCCGGGCTAAGGCTCACGTCAGCGGGGCGTGCTCTCTAAACAGGTCACGGGCAGCCCTCACCAACCTCGCACTCGCCAGCGTAGTGCAGTGTGACTTAGCGGGTGCCGGGGCGAAGGCCTTCACCCAGCAGCGGATAGATCATGGCTTCAGAACAGAGGTCGTAACCGGGTACCCGATACCCGTACCCTACCCGATACCCGGCCGGGTACGGGTAGGCCGTGAGTCACTGGTGAGTCACTGTTTGTCACTCATTTCCCAACGTCTTGTCTCTTCTCATAATTCAAGTTCCTAGAATCAAGCCACCCGCGCCTGCAACATGGCTTCATCCCAGAGGTCGCGATCGGGTACCCGATACCCGTACGGCCGGGTACGAGTAGAGTACGGGTACCCGTTTGCGACCCTGGTGCGGCCGGCTACGGGTAAGGAATCAACACCCGTTTGCGACCTCTGATTCAGAACCGGAGTTCCCGGAGATAACCGGCGCTCACCTGTGTGGGATAGTGAATGGAACGACAGACGCGTGTCTCAGCACTTCCAGGATGAAGGCTTCCGTGAAGGGCAACTGGCGGCGGTCGTTGAGTGACGGTCGTCTCTGCCTGCCCACCACTGCGTCTGTCGGCATACCCCCACAGAGGAGCCCCACATTGCAATTGTGAGCGGTGCAGAGGAAGCATTGCGTGACCACAACTGCGTGTGTCGGAATACCCCCCAAAGGAACCCCACCGATGGCATTGCGTGACCACAGCTGCGTGTGTCGTAATACCCCCCAAAGGAACCCCACTGATGGCATTGCGTGACCACAACTGCGTGTGTCGTAATACCCCCCAAAGGAACCCCGCTGATGGCATTGCGTGACCACAACTGCGTGTGTCGTTATACCCCCCAAATGAACCCCATTGATGGCATTGCGTGACCACAGCTGCGTGTGTCGTTATACCCCCCAAATGAACCCCATTGATGGCATTGCGTGACCACAACTGCGTGTGTCGTAATACCCCCCAAAGGAACCCCACTGATGGCATTGCGTGACCACAACTGCGTGTGTCGTTATACCCCCCACAGGAACCCCACCGATGGCATTGCGTGACCACAACTGCGTGTGTCGTAATACCCCCCAAAGGAACCCCACTGATGGCATTGCGTGACCACAACTGCGTGTGTTGTTATACCCCCCAAATGAACCCCATTGATGGCATAGCGTGACCACAACTGCGTGTGTCGTTATACCCCCCAAAGGAACCCCACCGATGGCATTGCGTGACCACAACTGCGTGTGTCGTAATACCCCCCAAAGGAACCCCACTGATGGCATTGCGTGACCACAACTGCGTATGTCGTAATACCTCCCAAAGGAACCCCACTGATGGCATTGCGTGACCACAACTGCGTGTGTCGTTATACCCCCCAAAGGAACCCCACTGATGGCATTGCGTGACCACAACTGCGTGTGTCGTAATACCCCCCAAAGGAACCCCACTGATGGCATTGCGTGACCACAACTGCGTGTGTCGTTATACCCCCCAAAGGAACCCCACTGATGGCATTGCGTGACCACAGCTGCGTGTGTCGTAATACCCCCCAAAGGAACCCCACTGATGGCATTGCGTGACCACAACTGCGTGTGTCGGAATACCCCCCAAAGGAACCCCATTGATGGCATTGCGTGACCACAGCTGCGTGTGTCGTAATACCCCCCAAAGGAACCCCACTGATGGCATTGCGTGACCACAACTGCGTGTGTCGGAATACCCCCCAAAGGAACCCCATTGATGGCATTGCGTGACCACAACTGCGTGTGTCGGAATACCCCCCAAAGGAACCCCACCGATGGCATTGCGTGACCACAACTGCGTGTGTCGGAATACCCCCTAAAGGAACCCCACTGATGGCATTGCGTGACCACAACTGCGTGTGTCGTAATACCCCCCAAAGGAACCCCATTGATGGCATTGCGTGACCACAACTGCGTGTGTCGTAATACCCCCCAAAGGAACCCCACCGATGGCATTGCGTGACCACAACTGCGTGTGTCGGAATACCCCCCAAAGGAACCCCATTGATGGCATTGCGTGACCACAACTGCGTGTGTCGTAATACCCCCCAAAGGAACCCCACCGATGGCATTGCGTGACCACAACTGCGTGTGTCGTGATACCCCCCAAAGGAACCCCACTGATGGCATTGCGTGACCACAGCTGCGTATGTCGTTATACCCCCCAAATGAACCCCACTGATGGCATTGCGTGACCACAACTGCGTGTGTCGTAATACCCCCCAAAGGAACCCCACTGATGGCATTGCGTGACCACAGCTGCGTATGTCGTTATACCCCCCAAAGGAACCCCACCGATGGCATTGCGTGACCACAGCTACGTGTGTCGTTATACCCCCCAAAGGAACCCCACTGATGGCATTGCGTGACCACAGCTGCGTGTGTCGTTATACCCCCCAAAGGAACCCCACTGATGGCATTGCGTGACCACAACTGCGTGTGTCGTTATACCCCCCAAAGGAACCCCATTGATGGCATTGCGTGACCACAGCTGCGTTGTCGTAATACCCCCCAAAGGAACCCCACTGATGGCATTGCGTGACCACAGCTGCGTGTGTCGTAATACCCCCCAAAGGAACCCCACTGATGGCATTGCGTGACCACAGCTGCGTGTGTCGTAATACCCCCCCAAAGGAACCCCACTGATGGCATTGCGTGACCACAGCTGCGTGTGTCGTAATACCCCCCAAAGGAACCCCACTGATGGCATTGCGTGACCACAACTGCGTGTGTCGTTATACCCCCCAAAGGAACCCCACCGATGGCATTGCGTGACCACAACTGCGTGTGTCGTAATACCCCCCAAAGGAACCCCACTGATGGCATTGCGTGACCACAACTGCGTGTGTCGTTATACCCCCCAAAGGAACCCCACCGATGGCATTGCGTGACCACAACTGCGTGTGTCGTTATACCCCCGGTAGTGGTGGGTGTATAATCGCACTGACGGCACTCACCAAGCTCTTGGTGGATGCGCTGCTGTATGTCCGGGTAGGCGGCGAGGTACAGCATGCACCAGCTGAGTGTCGTGGAGATGGTGTCGAACCCTGCGACACGGCGACCACAGACAGGGGTTCAGCGACATCGCCACGAGTGTGCAGGCGGTGCAACTGCACTGGAGCGGGGAGGGGGGCTATGAATGACTTGCATCAGTGGACATGCCGATTCCCAGTGTTCGTGCTCAGATTGTTCTCGTTCTAATTAATCACAGGTTGAGCTGGAGCCCTCTGTAGCTCATCCTAAAACGGCGTGAGAATTTAAATCGCTCACTCAGTCGCTCAAGGTCAAAGGTTGCTTCTAATCTGAACCTGCAATCTGCTTAAACCTATCCTCCGCATACTCTTTGTTTTTTTCGGTAAAGTCACGTAGGTTAAAAATTCAAATAAATTAAATTAAATCACGACGTTTCGGAAGCAACACAAGCCTCCGTCATCAGGTGTAACCGCTCCAGTAAAATTGCTGCAGCAATGCTGTAGCAATTTATTTTAAAAATTTTACCTACGTGACTTTACGAAAAAAACAAAGAGTATGAATCCTTGCAGTCACGAAAACTTCAAATATAGAACTATCCTCCACACATTCCTATTCCTCACCTCCAAGCTGCCCAACCCTCTCCTCTACACATTCCTATTCCTCACCTACAAGCTGCCCAACCCTCTCCTGCACAACATTCCTATTCCCCACCTCCAATCTGCCCAACCCTCTCCTCCACACATTCCTATTCCTCACCTACAATCTGCCCAACCCTCTCCTCCACACATTACTATTCCCCATCTACAATCTGCCCAACCCTCTCCTGCACAACATTCCTATTCCCCACCTCCAATCTGCCCAACCCTCTCCTCCACACATTCCTATTCCCCACCTCCAAGCTGCCCAACCCTCTCCTCCACACATTCCTATTCCTCACCTCCAAGCTGCCCAACCCTCTCCTCCACACATTCCTATTCCTCACCTCCAATCTGCCCAACCCTCTCCTCCACACATTCCTATTCCTCACCTCCAAGCTGCCCAACCCTCTCCTCCACACATTCCTATTCCCCACCTCCAATCTGCCCAACCCTCTCCTCCACACATTCCTATTCCTCACCTCCAAGCTGCCCAACCCTCTCCTCCACACATTCCTATTCCTCACCTCCAAGCTGCCCAACCCTCTCCTCCACACATTCCTATTCCTCACCTCCAAGCTGCCCAACCCTCTCCTCCACACAATCATATTCCTCACCTCCAAGCTGCCCAACCCTCTCCTCCACACATTCCTATTCCTCACCTCCAAGCTGCCCAACCCTCTCCTCCACCCATTCCTATTCCCCACCTCCAAGCTGCCCAACCCTCTCCTCCACACATTCCTATTCCCCACCTCCAATCTGCCCAACCATCTCCTCCACCCATTCCTATTCCCCACCTCGAATCTGCCCAACCCTCTCCTCCACACATTCCTATTCCCCACCTCCAAGCTCCCCAACCCTCTCCTCCACACATTCCTATTCCCCACCTCCAATCTGCCCAACCATCTCCTCCACACATTCCTATTCCTCACCTCTAATCTGCCCAACCATCTCCTCCACACATTCCTATTCCCCACCTCCAATCTGCCCAACCCTCTCCTCCACACATTCCTATTCCCCACCTCCAAGCTGCCCAACCCTCTCCTCCACACATTCCTATTCCCCACCTCCAAGCTGCCCAACCCTCTCCTCCACACATTCCTATTCCCCACCTCCAATCTGCCCAACCATCTCCTCCACACATTCCTATTCCTCACCTCCAAGCTGCCCAACCCTCTCCTCCACACATTCCTCACCTCCAATCTGCCCAACCCTCTCCTCCACACATTCCTATTCCTCACCTCCAATCTGCCCAACTCTCTTTTCCACACATTCCTATTCCTCACCTACAAGCTGCCCAACCCTCTCCTCCACACATTTCTATTCCCCACCTACAAGCTGCTAACCCTACCACCCCTCGACTTTTCAGGCCATACAGGCGGTGTTAACGACACGAGATGTGTTGAGTTTGTTGTTGATGATGTTGTTGATGATGATGTTGTTGATGATGTTGCTGTTCGTGTTGTTGATGATGTTGTTGTTCATGTTGTTGTTGATGACGTTGTTGATAATGTTGATGATGATGATGATGTTGCTGTTCGTGTTGTTGATTATGTTGTTGTTCATGTTGTTGTTGATGATGTTGTTGATGATGATGTTGTTGTTGATGATGATGACGTTGTTCATGTTGTTGTTGATGATTTTGATGATGTTGTTGTTCATGTTGTTGTTGATGACGTTGTTGATAATGTTGATGATGATGATGATGTTGCTGTTCGTGTTGTTGATTATGTTGTTGTTCATGTTGTTGTTGTTGATGATGTTGATGATGTTGTTATTGATGATGTTGTTGATGATGTTGCTGTTCGTGTTGTTGATGATGATGATGTTCATGTTGTTGTTGATGATGTTGTTGTTGATGATGATGATGTTGATGATGTTGCTGTTCGTGTTGTTGATGATGTTGTTGTTCATGTTGTTGATTATGATGTTATTGATGATGTTGATGATGATGATGTTCATGTTGTTGTTGATGATGTTGTTGTTGATGTTGCTGCTGCTGCTATCCTTCAACGAAACCTCCCCGCCAGGTGGCACCCTCTCGCTCACCGGCTCCCAAGAAGTCCGACACGATGGAGGACACCTTGTCCAGCGGAAACTCCACGTTCCCGTTCTCGTCGAACTTGGAGTCCTGGCTGAGCGAGATGAGCCAGCTGGTGACGTCAGTCACGTTGCTCTGCGGTCACGTGACGACATCGGGCGACCGCGTTAACATTTCGAAAAGCATTCTCGAGGTCCATTTTCATTTTTGTTCATTATCGCCGGGTCGTTTTTTAAAATCCTTTATATTAAGTTCACGTGCTTGCGTGCTTGCGTGCTTGCTTGCTTGCTTAGGACCGTGCAAATCTTTCGGTCGTTTTTTAACCCACTTCCCGTGATCCAATCGAGCTGACATTTTCCACACAGACTCGTTGTGCCAGACAATTATTGTTCGTGAAAAAAAATTCCCAAAATGTTACACTTTTTAGGCAAAAAATTTTTATTTTACATATATTCAAATAGAACTCATTTATCGCTTTGGCTGAACGTCACAGTATAAGAGCCCAGAGCGTAACCCCTCCACAGGCCGTGGTGGAGTAGCGCAGTTGGTAGCGCCCTCGCTTCCCATGCCAAAGGTCGCGGGATCGGTCCCCGCGTCCTCCACAGGCGAATATACTTTAAAATCATTTATATTAAGTTCGCTGCCACGCATATAAAGGATTTATAGTGAAAAACTTTGTTTTTACGGGTTATACTTATATTTCCTTCGGCTTGCGAGATTTCGCGCTGTATCGTGTGGGTATCACCTATTGCTATCCAAAATTCGCCACACTTGCCGCGGTTCGAATTCACACTCTGCAATGCGGGCTATGCAGTCGGGCGTGGGACAACATTGCGTACTGCGTGTGTACTTTGTATGCGTACTGTGTGTGTGTACTGCGTGTGTACTTTGTTTGTGCACTGTGTGTGTTCTGTGTGCGCTACTCGGCAGGCAGCTCTACCGCGTAGAGTGAGGGTGGTGGGGGGTAGGGGAGGGACATACACCTGCATTGCTATTATTATTTTGTGTAAAGGATTGGAGGGTCATAAAATATCAGCGAGACGGAAGGGAGAGGGGACAGCACGCGTGGAGTTTTGACATCCGGCGAGGAATGAGGGGGTGGGGGGTGGGGAACGCGCCTGTCAGAGCAAGCGTCGGGGACATCGCACATTGGACCGCTGTGGAGGAGCACGCGAGGTTTGCTCAAGGCGAGCGATGGTCGGTGTGCGCTCGGAGGCGACCACGTGGCGTGTCGGAAGGCCCCTCGACTGGAGTTTCACGGGACAGACCCAGCAGGTGCCATAGGGTCGGCTGATTGAGGTGGCTGGCAGATGCGACCAACTGTGCCAACTTGCTGCGGTTTTAACCGCCCGGCGCTCCGCTCGTTGTTGTGAGCGTCGCTCCTCTGCCCCCCGCTGTGGCTGGAGGGGCGACTGCCTCCAACTGCCCCAGTAGCAGTAGCAGCGTCCCTCGCAAGGCTCCTCCACAGAGGCCGATCTTGACACCGCTGGTAACCGGTCGTCGGCAAGTCCACTCAGCTCCACGTTTTTTTCTGTGCCACATCACTCCGTCTCGTCTCTAGCCCGTCCCGTGCCCGTTAAGCCCCCACCCCCGTCCAAACCGGGGGGTCGGCAAACAAACTAAGAAGTAGAGTTTTTGTTTTCCCGAATTCTGTAAAAAAAAACCCACAAGACTCAACATTTCAAGAGCCACAATGCGACCGTGCGACGAATACGAGACGGCGGTGAGCCCTTGATAAAGCACGTTCACGAAGCTGCACGCCCCTTCAAAGTGCCGCACGGAGCCGGCAAAGTTGCACAACCCACCCCTCCCTCCCCCGACTCCTTAGTTCCAAACAAAAGCTGTTTGGCCGCACGCGGTGGCTACATCACCTCTCTGCCTCACCACCCCCCCCCCCCCCCACGGCTCACCTTATCGTGGGTGCTGTGATGCTCGGACACGCGGCGCCTGATGAACTCGGAGAAGCGATGGTTGAGCGCCGTGAAGCGCCGCATGCTGCCCCTGCACGAGGGCAGCAGCAGGCGCGCCGCCGGCACGAAGTCGCCGATGTTGCCGGCAGCCGTCACCTTCACGAAGTCGTGGGCCAGCGCCACGATACCGGCCAGCTCCTCGTCGTCGTGCGCGTACCGCGTGCCGAAGAGCAGCGCGGTGATCACGTTCGCCACGGCGAGCGCCAGCGGCTGCACGGCGTCGAACCCGGGTGTCGTGGTCGTCGGCTGTTGGACGTCGTCACCGGTGGTGGTGGTGGCGGTGGTGGTGGTGGTGGTGGTGGTGGCGGTGGTGGTGGTGGCAACAGCCTTGCTGCCCTCCAGGAAGATCTGCACGAGCTCCGTGGCTTCGGACGCGGCGTGCTCTTCCAAAGCGCACATCGACGCCGACGCCGTCGAGGTTCCCGTCGACGGCCGCACCTCCTCTTCGGAGAAGGCCCTCAGTGCCCCCTGCGCCATCCTCTTGTGGGCCTTCCACGCGGGCCCGTACGTGCTGTTGAACGCCAGGCTCAAGCCGTTCCCCACGATCGAGAAGGACTCGAACTTTGGCCGCCCGGCGAAGCTGTCGCCTTGGCGCACGAGCGCCTGCCTGATGGTCTCCAGACCGCTGAGCACCACCACGGAACGCGAGCCGATCTGTATCTTCATGACGTCGCCGTAGACTTTGCTCCAGCGAGCCAGCGTGACGTGGGGAGCGCTGCCCAGCTCCATGGCGTTGCCGACGAGGGGCCACGCGAACGGGCCGCGCGGAGTCGGGTAGGATGACGGCGGTGGCGTCGATGACGACGACGAAGAAGACGATCGCTTCTTCTGTAGGGCGGCGAGCGCCAGAAAGACGGCGGAGAGGAGGAGGAGGAAGGCTTGCACCGTGATGGGCCACACGACGTGGTGCTGTTGAGGCTGGTGGACCATTTGATCCTCCGAGAGGTTTGGGTCCGACATGGCGAGGTTTTTGTCTTGCCCGGGGGGTGATAGCGGTGCGGACTGTCTGTGTGTGTGTGTGTGTGGAAGGGTTGGGTGATAGACACACGCACGCACAGACACGCAGACAGACATACACACAGGCACACACAGACAGACATACACACAGGCACACACAGAGGTTCACACACACAAACATCCGAGACAAAGACATACACATAACACGCAGACACAAATACGCATACATACATACATGGGCACACACACACACGCGGGTACACAAAGACAAACAGACACACAGAAACACACGCGTTAGGGACATGGTCGATATTAATCATCATTTTAAATAAGCTATTTAAATAGCAATGACCTCACACACACGCACGCACGCATGCACACTCCCATAGCTGCGGATAGTTCCTTCAGAGCACAACCGCTGCGGGATTTCCACAACGTGGTAACCCATTTATTGCCCAGAGATTGATTAGGCGCTGAGTTGTCACCCGTAACGGGCTTGTGTTAGGGCTAGGGATACGGTTCGTGTTAGAGCTAATGCTAGGGCTAATGCTAGGTATATTGCTATTGCTAGGGCTATTTCTAGGGCTATTGCTAGGGCTATTGCTAGGGCTAATGCTAGAGTGAATGCTGGGCTAATGCTAGGTATATTGCTATTGCTAGGGCTATTGCTAGGGCTATAGGGCTATTGCTAGGGCTAATGCTTGACTAATGCTAGGTATATTGCTCGGGCTAATGCTAGGGCTAATGCTAGGTATATTGCTATTGCTATGGCTATTGCTAGGGCTAATGCTAGGGCTATTGCTAGGGCTATTGTTAGGGCTATTGCTAGGGCTATTGCTAGGGCTATTGCTAGGGCTAATGCTAGGGTGAATGCTGGGCTAATGCTAGGTATATTGCTATTGCTATGGCTATTGCTAGGGCTAATGCTAGGTATATTGCTATTGCTATGGCTATTGCTAGGGCTAATGCTAGGGCTATTGCTAGGGCTATTGCTAGGGCTATTGCTAGGGCTAATGCTAGGGTGAATGCTGGGCTAATGCTAGGTATATTGCTATTGCTATGGCTATTGCTAGGGCTAATGCTAGGGCTAATGCTAGGTATATTGCTATTGCTATGGCTATTGCTAGGGCTAATGCTAGGGCTATTGCTAGGGCTATTGTTAGGGCTATTGCTAGGGCTATTGCTAGGGCTATTGCTAGGGCTATTGCTAGGGCTATTGCTAGGGCTAATGCTAGGCTGAATGCTGGGCTAATGCTAGGTATATTGCTATTGCTATGGCTATTGCTATGGCTAATGCTAGGGCTAATGCTAGGTATATTGCTATTGCTAGGGCTATTGCTAGGGCTAATGCTAGGGCTATTGCTAGGGCTATTGTTAGGGCTATTGCTAGGGCTATTGCTAGGGCTATTGCTAGGGCTATTGCTAGGGCTAATGCTAGGGTGAATGCTGGGCTAATGCTAGGTATATTGCTATGGCTATTGCTAGGGCTAATGCTAGGGCTAATGCTAGGTATATTGCTATTGCTAGGGCTATTGCTAGGGCTAATGCTAGGGCTATTGCTAGGGATCATGCTAGGTCTATTGCTAGGGCTATTGCTATGGCTAATGCTGGACTATTGCTAGGACTATTGCTAGGGCTATTGATAAGGATATTGATAAGGATATTGACAGGGTTATTGCTAGACCACCGCCGTGTTTTGTAGGCGACCAACACGAAACTCTCGCACGTGCGGACCTTGTTTTTTGTGAATGGAAATCGATGGCAGTGAATGAGCAGGAAGTGGCTATAACCGCTACGCCCTCGTAAATCTCTTGACATGCTTACACATATCTCGGCTTGTGAATGTCGATAATGATATACATGCCATTTGCGCCACGTCATTATGCACATTAAAACATATTTTCTGTCCGCATACCGCAACGTACTAAACAGCCCCGCCGAGTTTATAACTCCTTGCGGCTAGGCGATGAAAACAATGGGTTTTTATTATTATTATTAAACGATTAGACAAAGGCGAATATCCACCTCCAACAGCACGTGGGGCAAGTGCTGTTCGCGAGCGAAGTTCCCGTCACGTAGCGAGCACCAATTTATAGTCGGATCGGGTATACGTGAGTGAGCGTGGTGTGGCCGGAAGAAAAAAACCAAACCAAGCCACGCCACGCCCGGCCGCCTTTGTTTCTCCGCAGCAGTTGTCGATATCGATGCGTTCACGGCGCCCTGGGTTGAATCGTGTCTGGCCGAGGTCGCCTGTTCACGCATTCGCCACCGACGGCGATTGAACGGGTTCGTAGCGCAGGGCTCTCACCCCCCCCTCTCCTCCTTCCACCTCGGTTGAACAATTTACACGCAATCAAGGCAAAGGTCACCCGGATAGCCTCCGCTAGGCGTTTGGGGCAAGGGCTGCTAGCGAGCAGCTACGAAGGGCTGGCGCGGCGCACGAGAGCGTGGCCAGAAACCCCAGCGGCGATGATTACAGAGCGTCCTGAGCTCAATGCTGAGTCGACCTAGGGGTGGCTCAAACACCAGTTGGGATCGTCGTCACTGGCCTTGGTGGCGGCCGTGATCCAGGAATCGAACTCGCGCGCTAACCGTTGCACCACCGCTCCCCACTGACATCGACGCACAGCTCACGGAACACGCGCCACCAAAGCCGCAAGAACCACAACAAAGACAAAGACTCCCACCACCACCGTGTAGCCTTAACAGACTGCAGGGGCAAGTGCTGCTAGCGAGTAGCACCTATGAATGTCGGCCACGGGTGGCCAACACCACGCCAGGGCCGCCTTTGTCTCCGAGTTACTAATCTGAGGCTGAGTCGACCTAGGGGAGGCCCAGAACCGGTTCAGATAATCGTCGCCGGTGTTACGCGCACATGTACAGCCCCGCGCCGTCGCTCCACTGCAGGACGAGGGCCTCCTCCGTACATCGTGCGCGGTGGTCATCCTCACCATACTTCACCACGGGAGCACAGAAGTACGGTACAACAATGAATGCCGCTGCACCAGTGCCGGATTATCCTCGTAGCAAAAGTCGCTACGTATGTAGCTACGGGCCCCGCACTTTCAAGGGCCCCGCGCTAAACGCTTTCAAGCTATCAATTTTGGGTTCAGCGATTCTGCACTTGCTCTATTACTATAGTGCTATACCCCCTTCAACTTTTTATGAAAGACTGGGTGTTTTAAGATTAGCGATTTGTCGTAATACCTGGCTGTATAGAAAAAAATAATACAAATAATTGACTATGCAAGTTAAAATTTGTGTTTAAATATTCATGATTTGTTTTTATTTAGGGCCCCTTTATAGCATCATATGCTACAGGTCCCGCACGAGCTTCATGCGGCACGGTGCTGCACCTCTCTGCTGCCCACAGCCGAGCACAACAGTAGCGGCAGTAGCCTGGAGCATCAGTTATTCAGACGTTTTAGCGAACGGCTGTCGCCCATGCAGACACTCTTCCACCAGAGCTCGACGCTCTGCGTAAATCGGACCAACATTTGGCGCCAATGAACGCGATCGTGTCGCAATGGTAGCCACAGCAGCGGCAGCATAACCGCACATGGCTGAACGTAACTCCCCTACCACACCCGACCCTCTCGATGCGCTGTGAACAAGGGTCATTAGCCGAAACGTCGCCAGTTATTGACTCCCTCCCCCCCGTTTGAGGCTGCAGCGTCGGGATCGCATTTTTCTTTTTCGTTTCAAGGCTGCGGATAGTTTTTTTTGCAACTTGGATATTTTAGAGACGGTTCTGCACAATAATTGAATCACCACGCAGGATACGACCACGTAGTATAACGATAATCATCATGATAGTTTATGTGCACGCTATTGCCATCTAACCAACCGCTAACCGCGAAGCGTTTGTTTGAAATGAGCCTAGCTCTGCTGATGAGACCCAGGAAATCGAAACCTGTGCAGAGTTTGTTTTGATCTCGCTTAAAGCAAATATCTGCCGGATAGCATCGAGCACTATTAACAACACGAGTGACGTGGGCTTAAACGCAAACCCGACACAGCTGATGAGACACTTGAACGCCGAAACTGGTCCGTGGCTTTGGCATTTTGGCTTTTAGCAGACGCTGCTGGATAATAAATTAGCAAAGAAGCCTGCACGGTGGACTAACGCGCGTAATGCTGCTTCACGTCAATTTAACACGCGATTTGGGCTTTCGTGGCCAAAATAATATCCATAACAGAGGTTTTTTTTTCTGGGTTAGATCGCGTAAATATATAAACGTGTCGTTAAACCCGCCACCGCCCGACACAGCCAATTGGTAAGGTTTGTCATGTCGACAAAACGTGGACAATTCGTGTTGGAGAGCAAATCCACAACAATTACAATCTGAGTACCAGTTACTAGTACAGCACACCGGTGTGTTGGAGAGAAAAAAACCACTACAGCATTTCACAATTGGAGTACGATCTTCTTTCACTTCGCCGTGTTGAAACACGCTCGGATTTTCGTTGCAGACGGAGAATAGCGGCATTGCAGGGCTGCCCCTTTATCCGTGGCGAGCTTGCCACATTGGCGTGGGATGCCTTACAGGATCGATGGGTAGCCAGGTCGATGTCTCTTGCGAATATGACTCTGAACAATCCATGGTTCAGTTTCGATTTTTGACCTAATAAAAAAATATATATTTTTCTTCTTCTTGGTTCTTTCGGTAAAGTCACGTAGAAGGAAAATAAGGCAGAATGACTCTGCCTTCTCGACAGACCTATTCTCCACCTGAAGACGGCTGCTTGCGTTGTGGCCGAAACGTCGTGAGAATTATTTTATAATGTTTTATTTTATTATTTCATTATTTCCCTTCTACGTGACTTTACCGAAAGAACCAAGAAGATGAATCCCTGCAGTCACGAAAGCCTTAAATCGAAACTATATATTTGTTAAATCCCACGTGCTGCAACACACACACACATAACGCACGTAACATGTACGCGCGTTTAAAAAAAAAACTCAAACAGGACTCCCCCCTAATCGCTTGCGTTCAGTCGCTCACCTGCAGTAAGATCCAGGTGAGCGCGAGACGTCGGAGGGGTGGGACGGGGAGGGGTGCAGGAAACCGCTTTTGTCGGGTCCGCCTCGCCCCCGATGTCGCGTGCGAAGACTCGCAGTTTGCGCGCTCAGATCGCACACGACGCCTGTTGCACTCACGCACGCACGCGACACGCGGCACGCACACACACACAGAGAGAGGTGGGTGGGAGTGGAGATGAGAGAGAGAGAGAGGGAGCGACAGTGCCTGAACCAGCGCGCGCGGGACGCGGTTATATAGCCGCTTTTGGTGGGGTGGCCGATGGCGTTCATTGGTTATGGAAGAGGTGGGCAGAGGGGGGTGGGGTGGGAGTTGGTGGAGGGGGGTGATGTGATGTGTGTGTGTTTGTGCGTGTGTCGTGGGTGGGGGAGCGGTGGGTGTAGTGGTTGGCACACTTCGCTACGAAAACCGGTGACGCGAGGTCGATTGCCGCTCACGGCCAACACCAAGTGACGATTTGTCTGAAACGGTCGTGGGCCTCGCCTAGGTCGACTCAGCATCGAATGAGTAACCTGGTGGTGGTGAGTACACGCCGCCACTGTGGAAGACAAAGGCGGCCGGGCGTGGTGCTGGCCACCCACCTCCTCGTGTGCCGTGCCGGCCTTCAGAGGTGCCTACACGCTATGAGCACTTGCCCCAACAGTCTGTTACAGGCTACACGGGGGATCTTTGTCCTGGTCACACACCACCAACACACAACAACAACAACCGCCATTCGCCACTAAGTGGCGGTGACCTCACCACGGCGCTTGTGCCAGGCCATGTGCACGCTGAGGCCACGTGAAGTGTCGAACGCCCGCTGGCAGGAGGTCACGGGGCAGACCCAGCAGGTGCCATGGGTTGACCGACTGAGATGACTGCCCGATGCACCACCTGTGTCCCCTTTGTCTTTTTGTGGGGGAGCGGTGGTGTAGTGGTTGGTGCACTGCGCTACAAACTCGGCCACCCGAGCTCCATTCCCGCTCATGATCAATAACAGCGGAGAGTGTTTGTTTTTACACTTAAACATTTTTTTAACAAATCCCATCAGCCGCATGTCCTCCTGGGGGAGTGCGACGTTCACCGCAGCATTGGTTCGGCACGAGCACAACTCTTGGACCAGTTTCGGCATTCAATGTCTCATCAGTAGCAGAGCCGCGTTTCCCCTTGAATCGGAGTGCTCCCGCGTTGAACCGATGCCCCTTGCAAATGTTACACTTCGAGATGGAACGGCGCGCGCGTGCGTGTGTGTGCGTGTGTGCGTGTGCGTGCGCGTGTGTGTGTGTATGTATGTGCGTGTGTGTGTGTGCGTGTGTGTGTGCGTGTGCGTGCGCGTGTGTGTGTGTATGTGCGTGTGTGTGTGTGCGTGTGTGTGTGCGTGTGTGTGCGAGTGTGCGTGTGTGTGTGCGTGTGTTCGTGTGTGTGTGTGGTCGACTCAGCCTTAAATGAGTACCTGGTGCGGTGTGTAAACATCGCCACTGGGGAAACAAAGGCGGTCGGGCGTGGTGCTGGCCACCCACCCCCTCGTTCGTGTACCCTTCCGGCCTTCATAGGTGCTCGCTAACAGCACTTGCCCCTACAGTCTGTTAAGGCTATAGGGGGATCTTTGTATCTTTGTGTGTGGCTGATGCACAAGGAGGAGGCTCGTGAAGGACGCTACTGGGCAGTTGGAGGCAGTCGCCCTCCAGCAACAGCGGGGGGGCAGAGGAGCGACGCTCACAACAACGAGCGGAGCGCCGGTGGCTAAAGTACAGCATGTTGGCACCCATGGCACCTGGGTCTGTCCCGTGACAGCCTGCCAGCGGGCGTTCAACACTTCACGTGGCCTTGACGTGCACATAGCCTGGCACAAACGCCGTGATGAGGTCACCGCCACTTAGTGACGAATGTTTTTAATGCAAAATGTATCTATTTGGTGTCTGGACATCTTAACAAGTTTCGATTTAAAGCTTTCGTGACAGCATGGATTCATATTCTTGGTTATTTCGGTAAAGTCACGTGGAAGGGAAATAATAAAATCATATAAAATAAACCATAATAAGATAAAACTCTCACAATCTTATTATGTAAAATTTGTATTATTTTATTTCCCTTCTACGTGACTTTACCGAAAGAACCAAGACTATCTTAACAAGTGTTTTCTTTTTCTATCTACGTGACTTTACCGAAAGAACCAAAGAGTATGGATTCCTGCAGTCACGAAAGCTTCAAATCTAGTGTTTTATTGCCAGAACGGGTAAAACCCATCCTTATTTCTCAAACGCCACACGCCTGTTTTAATGTGCAAGGCACGGGTCCCACCGCTCTGTGGTTAAACGATGACCAAAACAGCTCAAGAGCAGGGCTTTCCACGGACCCCTTTCAATGACCTCCCCCCCCCTCCCTGCGTGGCTTCTGCATGCGTGGTCTTGCGTGTGACCTCACGACCTCTCGCTACGATTGTGGCTGGCACTCGGTGTTTCTGTGTGGGGTGCGTGGGGGGTGAGGGGAGCGGTGGCGCAACGGTTAGCGCTACGCCACGCTACGAACCCAGCGGTCCGAGTTCAAGTCCCGCTCACGGCCAACGATTTATCTGAAGCGATCCTGAGGCCTCGCGTAGGTCGGCTCAGCCTCAAATGGGTAGCTGGTGCGGCGTGTAAACGTCGCCACTGGGGAGACAAAGGCGGCCGGGCGTGGTGCTGGCCACCCACCCGATTCTCGCACACGCCAACCAACACCCAGTGACGATCATCTGAATCGGTCCCGGGCCTTCCCTAGGTCGACTCAGCCTCAAATGAGTACCTGGTGCGGTAAGCATCGTCGCCAGGGATACAAAGGTGGTCGGGCGTGGTGTTGGCACACCCACTCCCTCGTGTGCCGTGCCGCTCTTCATAGGTGCTCGCTAACAGCACTTGCCCCAACAGCCTGTCAAGGCTACACGGGGGATCTTTGTGTGTGTGTGTGAGAGAGAGCGGTGGCGCAATGGTTAGCACACTGCACCGGAGTTCGATGTTCGCTCACGAGCATTTAACAGTGGCGAAATATTTGAACCCGGCCCTGGGCGTCCCCTAGGTCGACTCAGCATTAAATCCCTAAATGCACTGGGGAGACAAAGGCGGTGATGTTTGCCACCCCGCGTTTTTTTTTGTTCGCCGTGCTGGGCTTAATGTTATCATTTTATCGGTCGGTACGTTTCCCTTTGTGTGTGTATCTGTATCTGTAAGTATATTTGCACATGTCTGTGTTTGTCTTCGTATGCTTTGCATGTGTGTTTGAATGTCTAACTGCCAGTGTGTCTGCGTGTGTGTGCGCATGTGTGTGTTGAGGATTGTGTGTCATCATGCCTGCACGTGTATGCTTGTGTGCCCGTGTGCATATGCCCATCAGTGTCATATCTATTTGGTTATATGCCAGTATGCCTGGGTGTACGTGTGTGTGTGTGGGGAGCGGTGGTGTAGCGGTTAGCGCTACGCTGCGCTACGAACCCGGCGACCCGAGTTCGATTCCCGCTCATGGCCAACACCGGCGACGATTATCTGAACCGATCCTGGGCCTACCCTAGGTCGACTCAGCCTCAAATTATGACTTGTTTTGTTGAGTAAACATCGCCACTGGGGAGACAAAGGCGGCCGGGCGTGGTGCTGGCCGCCCGCCCCCTCGTGTGCCGGCCTTCATCGGTGCTACTCGCCAACAGCACTTGTCCCAACAATCTGTCAAAGGCTACACGGGGGATCTTGTCTTTGTATCATTGTTCACGTGTTGATGTAAGCATCATTGTGTGTGTGTCAGCATGCACGTGTGTGTGTGTGTGTGTATGTCAGTGTGTGTGTGTGTATGTCAGTGTTTATGTGTGTGTGTGTATGTCAGTGTTTATGTGTGTGTGTATCGGTGTGGTGCGTGCTAACAGCACTTTTCCCAAAAGTTTGTTAAGGCGAAACAGGAGAGCTTTGTCGTTGTTGTTTGTGTGTATCACTGTGTATGTGTCAGCATGTCTTTCCCTGTACGTATCACTGTGCGTATCTCTCTCCCTGTATGTACATCAGTGTGTGTCACTGTGGGGGTCACTGTGGGGGTCAGTGTGTGTGTGTCAGTGTGTCAGTGTATGACTTTGTGTATGTGTCAGTGTGTGTCACTGTGGGGGTCATTGTGTGCATCACTGTGTGTGTGTCAGTGTGTGTGTCAGTGTGTGTGTCAGTGTGTCAGTGTGTGTCGGTGTATGACTGTGTGTATGACTGTGTGTGTGTCAGTGTGTGTGTCAGTGTGTGTGTGTCAGTGTGTGTGTCAGGGTGTGTGTCAGTGTGTCAGTGTGTGTGTGTCAGTGTGTGTGTGTGTCAGTGTGTGTGTCAGTGTGTGTGTGTGTCAGTGTGTGTGTCAGTGTGTGTCAGTGTGTGTGTCAGTGTGTGTGTGTCAGTGTGTGTGTGCGTGTCAGTGTGTCAGCGTGTGTGTCAGTGTGTCAGTGTATGACTGTGTGTGTGTCAGTGTGTGTGTCAGTGTGTGTGTCAGTGTGTGTGTGTCAGTGTGCGTGTGTGTCAGTGTGTGTGTCAGTGTGTGTGTGTCAGTGTGCGTGTCAGTGTGTGTCAGCGTGTGTGTCGCGTGCGCCCCGTGTTGACACGGAGGAGTCGAACCCCTCAGCTCCACCCGCGCACTCAGCTCCGTTCGCGTGCGAAGCCGCAGATAAGAAGGGGAGCGAGTTGAGTGGCGGGGTGAGCGGGGGGGGTGAGCGGGGGGGGGGTGAGCGGGGGGGTGGGGTGAGCGGGTGGGGTGAGCGGGGGGGGGGGTGAGCGGGTGGGGTGAGCGGGTGGGGTGAGCGGGGGGGTGAGCGGGGGGGGTGTTCTCGACCACCGCTTCTCCCCTCCCGCGGAGAATTCGGCAAAAATTGCGCTTGTTCGCACGCACGGCACACGCGAGGCTGACTCGGCACGGGGAAGGGCGTGAGAGTGTGTGTTTTAGTGTGTGTGTGTGTTGGTGTGTGTGTGTTGGTGTGTGTGTGTTTGTTGGTGTCTGTGTGTTAGTGTGTGTGTTGGTGTGTGTGTGTTGATGTGTGTGTGTGTTGGTGTGTGTGTTGGTGTGTGTGTTGATGTATGTGAGTGTTAGTGTGTGTGTGCTGATGTGTGTGTGTGTGTTGGTGTGTGTGTGTTGGTGTCTGTGTGTTGGTGTGTGTGTGTTGGTGTGTGTGTTGGTGTGTGTGTGTGTTGGTGTGTGTGTGTTGGTGTGTTGGTTTGTGTGTGTTGGTGTG